GCGCTTTGCACGGGCCCCGTCTGCCCTCTAGCGAGAAGAGCGGGAACGGGGCTCCCCTCGGAGTGCCTGGCTCGGAAGAATGAGGTGCTCTGGAGAGAGAAGCCACGCGAGCAGGCGCGCATCTGCGTTCCGGGCCCCGGGGAGGGAGTGCAGGGTCGCGGTGTGTGCGGCCGCTCACCCGGGTTCAGCCCTGCGGTAGTGCATCAGCTGAGAGGGATTCCTAGAGGTCAGCGAAGCAGATAAAAATCCAGCCCAGTGCCAGGAAATGGTCAGCTCCAAATAAGTTCTCAAACTTTTGGCTTTGCAGTTCTGTTTTTCAGGACGTCCTTGATAAATATGGTTAATTTGTGTTCCCAGGAGATACTCAAAAGTGAAAGTTCACCTGAAGTTTTGAACCCAGTTGCTTACTGCTTATATGATAGAATGAAATGGCGATTGAGGCTTTCCAGAGACAAATCTAGTTAGTACTTGATAATCAGAACAGGGACATGAATGACAGTTTTACCTTATATTTCCCTAAGAAGGGCTGATGCTTCAGGCACTATCTTGGACGGAGGAGGCACCCCAAATAAATACTTGGTTATGAGTGATTGAGTGAAGAAGATACTAAAACAAAACAAAAACAAAAAATGGAGGGGAGGAGGAGGAAGATAAGGAAGGGCCTTTTTCTACTGCTGCAATTCCCAGTTGTTAACTGATCCAGATACCTTAAGTCATTAGAACATCCTCCAGCACATTTCGTAAAGCACTTCTGAAGAATTAATTCAATAGCACTAGGTAGTACATTGGCTGAGGAAGATAACAGAAGTATTTGCCTATCCCTTGCAGGAAGAAAACAAGATTTGCCTAGTCCTCTTATTGGCATCCCTGAGAACATTTCAGAACCTGGCTTATTGGCACACACCTTAAACAGGTTTTGAGCAAAACAAGTTGAACAGAGAGTAATTGTTTGGCCACTGACCATTCCTGTGCATGCTTCTATAATAAGACACTGCTGATCAGATTCACCTTAAATTACCTTTATTTAGCCCTCATGAAGGTGTATTAAAATTTTGCTTACTTTCCCCTATGTTTTGGAGATAGAATATAGCATTTTATTCAACAAGAGGTGAAATGGGGGGCTGGATTAGCAATTTCCCCAAATGACTTTCTCTATTGTCCTCTCAAAGGTCATCATAGTAAATTAAGGAGATCTTAGACCTAATCGCAGTGGTAAAGTTGTAAAGAGTTATTGGGGCTCCTTAAGTGCTGTCCAGTCCTGCCCGGGAACGCTCTCCCTGCAGAAGCTTCTCTGGTCCTCTGGAGGTGGTCTGATGAATTAAGGACGGAATGGTGATCTGAAGTGGCATTACTTTCAGGTAACAGGTCTGCATTTTGTCAAGGCTTCATAGCAGCAGTGCCTTACTTAGCATAGGCATTTCAGATAAGCACCCATCAGGGGCCAGGGAGAGATTTTAAGAGCAAACAGGCACTTCTGTGCCCTGCAGATCTTATCTACTAGGTGGGCAGCTGTGTTGGGACCACCTCCTGTTCTCTAATGACACAGAGTTCAGAGCTGCCTTGTGATACTTTCCCGTCCCACAGCTGTGACTCTAAACCAGAGAGATTGGCATCTTTCAGTGACCTTCTGTTTACTACCTTCCCAGAAAATTTGTGGTGAACTTGACTCTAGGTTAGTTTTTAGTGTATTTGTCTTTTTTCCATCAGGTGGTTATCCTTCTTGGGGAGGAAGGCAGTTCGTGCTTATTAAACCCTATAAATCAGATAAGAATATTTATTCTTCATTTGATTCAAGAAGAATGACCAATTTGAAACCTCCTGTATATAAAAGCACCTGGCATTGGATAGTATTGCTTTGAAATCACTGTTTCTTTCCTTCCTGTCATTTTCCTTGAAATGGTGTCAATGTCCTTTTCCCAGTCTCAGGAGAATACATAACTGATAGACATAATGGTCTGTGAGAGAAACCCATACCTCCTTTTCAGTCTTTTTTGCACCCTTTAGTCCTCAGGCATCCTCAGAGGACTGACCTCTAAAAGCCATCAATATAGCATTGCCACTTGGCATACCAGCTCAAATTAGGACTTACGAGGACACCCATCTCTTAAATAGCTCCCGCTTAGTGCCCTCCAATCCCAACTTTCTTAAAACAGCCACTGAAACTTTATGTCCTACACGACAGACATGCAACAGCCAAGCCTCTCTTTGGATATTATAACGTTTCTTCACAACAGCCGGGGGAGAGATAAGGCTGAGAGAACTCAGCCGCCCAGCCCCGCTGTGTGCTGTGTCCCATGCGGAGGAATAAACATCTGCTGGAGGGCTATTTCCAAGGGAGAAGCTTTCTTTAACTTTCATGCGACACGTGTGACTGATATGTGATACATACGTAGCTATGTCTCATAGCATCGCATTTTTATACAATTAACTGAATATTGAATTGCACACTATTGGGGCTGCAGATGTTCAGCAGAATTATCTGGTCCATAATCATGGCTCTAATAGGTCCCAAGCCCTTGGGGTCATTGATTCCTCTTTGCTCAAAAAAAAAAAAAATACTCAGCATGATCCTGGGCTTTGTAACACAGATCCACATACCAAGGGCCCTGCAACATCCTGCACCTCTTAGATGCTGGACTTCCCGGGTCTAGATTCTTCATATTGATTCACTCAACAAACTTTTTCTGTTGAAGCCTGAATTACAAAACCAGAGCTTTTTTTGCCTTTTGGTATTTGGCTCTAAGCTGCTTTTATGACTCTATGTTTACCGACATGTTTTTCTTTCATTAAAACACTGCTCAGGATTCTTTTTTTTTTCCCCCGCTTTAAATGACCTGGAACCAATTCATTATCAAGCCTAGTTCAGTTCTAGACGAGTGGGTCTCCCTTCTTCCCTGGAGGAAGGGGCGTCCGTGAGTACAAGTGGTGGAAAAATTGAGACACTAAGTATCCCAAATGGGTAGAAGCCACCATGTGCTCCCCGGTGACATCACCCACCTGTTTTGCTAACTAAGTGGCTCCCCAGGCTGGAGCACTTGTAAACATTCTTGGATGTAAAATGCCCTGTCGCTAATGGGGCACCGAGTGTTTACAGAGCAGGAGGAGTGCCCAGTGATCTGTTTTAACCCGGTTACTCATAACCACTTAGATTATGTAATTATTAACAACATTAAATATTATTTATGACATGAAGTCAGGTTCATTTGGAAGAATGGCTTTGAAGCAAAAAGGGGGGAGAAGCTTGGGACACTGTTCTCATATCTGCAAAATGATAAAAATGATCCTGTTAGGAAAATGGAGAGAAGAAATCATGCAATATGTAGGTAATCAGAACATATGGAACCAGTACGAAAGCAGTAAACACTCTACTACATGCCAGGCACTACGCTGGACACTTGCATACTTATTCATAAAGCAGCTACTG